ATGAAGATCGTTGTCACGTTCAGATAAATGCTTAACTTTCTCCTCTTTAAATACGTACTTGCCGTCCTCATCTTTTAATCGACCACACACAAGCCTCACTGATGCTTGTTTTCTGAGACCAGTAAGGCGCAAATATATACTAGTCTATACTAGAGTGGGATCGCAGTGTAAATAGAAAGAGCGACAATCCTCTTCAGATTTTCTCCAATGTTGGGTTATAACATTGTGTTCTAGCCGTGTTCATCGTTAGTTTGAAGTCGGCGTACGCCATATGAGACAGTGTCTCTTCTTATGGTTGAAGTTAATGCTGACTAGAAGCAAGTGATTGACAGAACAAAAGTGTGATAGATGACCAACATTGTTGTTTCGTTGGCATGGGATTCCGTAGATACCTCTGAGATGCCTTTCCAAACGGCTCACCTTTCCAACTTCAGCGTTAAAGTCGTCTCCTACTATGACTACATCTGAACTTTTGTTTTCTACTGCAAAATTGACATCCTTTGTATCATCCGAAATGTAATCAGTAGGCGCATAGGTGGAGATTACAAATAGGCATGCAAGAGTGTCACAACAGTTACTAATTCCTACGGATCCATTCAGTACGATAAAACACAGGTGGGTATTGACTGGCATCCAGTTGAAAAATGTGCTCTTTGCTCTTAATGTCATACCTAAACACCAGCGAGTCCACGAGAGCTATTGGGTCTCCGAATAGTCGTATAGTGAATTTTGAAGATTCACCACAATGGCTAGGTGAGGTCAACTTAAGGGTTATACTCGCGTGATGAATACGTGTTTCAGAAACGTCGCATACATCCAGGGCTCCGTGACCCCAAAGCCCATGCGACATCTGCTTGAGGCCTGTCACAGACAGCATTTTGAGGTTTTTGGTGTGAGATTTCATTGTTCCAACATCAGATAGAGAAAACCCAAAGACCCAAAACCGAAAGACTATGGGGCAGGGAGTAGTGTGCTATTTTTGGGGTCCATCATTTCTAGCGCCCCTTCACATAGAATTAGCATCAGCAAGGAACTGCTGGTCATCCGTAGGAAGCACCTTACTGCTGTCATACCATTATTCACATAAGCAGCAGCACAACTTTACCCTCAAATCCCCATCATAATGTAGCAATTTACACTACAACGGCAAATGTTTTGTATCTTACCACTATACATCAGCCCCTCCTGACATAATAGAACCTCTAAGGAACAAACATTCCACCTAGTTTAGCTCGTTAGGTCATTATGAAATACATGCCCGACTACCAAGTCAAAGTAGCAGGTATCTTGTATAGAAGAAATGCAAAGAACACCAGAGAATGCATAGAAGACAAACGGGCAGATAAAGTTAACGTAGAACCTCGCAGACAAGTGCATTGGTTCAAGTCGCCATACTTCACAATAGGATACAATCCGGAGAACTTCGATATCCAGGTGGATCAGCAAATGTGCAGACCTAGACCCAACCTATCAACCAATGAGAAAAATGATAAACAACTGCAAGGTAAGATGTCAAGCAGAGAGACAGCGAATAGGAAAATCTATATAGTCAATGAAACAACAATCTACCTATCACACATCACTCAAGTAAAAATCATGACAGCTCACTTTATATTGAAATAAGTGCTAATTGTTTTGTCTAGAAAGACAATGAAAGCCTCACTATTAAACCAATAACCTTCGAAAATGCAACAAAAGCAAGATTATTCACCTGAGCTACATATATTCTCCATCATGTGCATATTTTCTTTCCTAAAACATGTTAGGAAATTAATCTCTATTGTATACTAACAGTTATAGTCTATTAAACCACTTTGTAAGTAAAAAGTTCGTGAACAAGACTGTTTACTAGACCATTTAACGTAAAGATCAATCACAGAAAAGTTTTTGATGGTAAAAATATCACGAAAAGCAGTAATTAATGATTATTCATGCGCATAGTTCTGCTACTTGTGAGTAGCTTGAATTTTTTTTCGGAAATGACATTGTCCACGCTAGACTGAAAACAATATTTCTTTAAGCATCAATAATTACTCAGACTGAAACAAAATCTTAGCTGACTCGAGCATTTAAACCAGTATTAGATCTGATTCTGGAACTAACAGATAATTCATATACTTCAACTTGGTGTGGTATAGATAACAAGTGTAATAGAATCTTTAAAAAGGGTAGTTGTAGAATTCATAAATAAGTCAGCCTACCCCTTAATAAACTATTTGCTCAGTAGGTGGTATTTAAAGCCCCTCTCACTTGATGTAACTATAATTGTAGTTATCCGTTGCTATGAAGGGTCGAGTTGTTCGACTTCTGTTTGCAGATGGGCTCCTACGTGGATGCCTCGATACTGCCGCGTATCCATGATGTTATATTGATCTCAGTAACTAGCAGTGGAATCCAGATGGAGCGCTTCATCCTATTTGGAACTCATCGGCTAGATATACCTACACTCCAGTGTGGAGTGACGATGTTCTCAATGAGACTCGAACTCAGTAATCATCACTTTAAACGCTAGCATGTTATCCACTAAGCTTGGATTCCTCTGCTAATCACAAGGATCAATATAACCCCTATCACTCGATTTACGTCGAATGCACCCAACCATGGCAATATATTTCTCCGAAAAGTGTGCTACCACTCAATTTTGGCTGAAAATAAAATTCTCCTAAACGATCCTAGATAATTTACTTTTGGATTACTCAATACATACTCCTTGCAAACAACTTTAAACAACCAACTGAGAATTTCAATTTAAGTTTAGTGTTCAATGCCAGTAGGGCATTATGGAAAAACGTTAAGGAGATTTTTTGAAATTTGACGCGTAAATCGTTTGTTACCCACAGACACCATCACGACTGAGCATTTTGATAACTTACTCACTAATTTTTACTTATCCTTATGTAAAATTAATTGCAGGTAAGAAGAATATTGGATTGAAAAGATTGTGAAAGGTAGTTTGAGATAGCGAGTGGTTTAACACTCGCTATTCATCAAATTTTCACGTAGGCTAAAAGTATATTGCACTGATTGGTATTCATCACAGACTGACGTCGGATGCAGAAATACTAAGAACTTGGGAGCAGTGGAAAATTGCTTCATCTGAGTATGGGATTCTTGAACAGTGCGCATCCATGACACCGCACACCTAGGGATCGAACCCAGGACCTTCAGGTTCCAATGCCAGCACGTTACCAGTGTTCCATATTTCCTAATGGAATGCAGTCGATCATTTCACAATGCGGCCATCAGGCTAGGGGACTCAGCATCAAGATGCACTCTGATAGATGGTATTTGAATGGAGGCGATTGGCAGGAGGTCCTGTTTGACCTGGGTTTTGTGTTTACTAGAGCTCATCAGTGAGGCATATCTGCAACCTTTCAAGTAAATCAACTCCGATTTTACGAAATAAGATTGTTTACTATCTGTCTAAGAGTGCTCAGAATGAAAAACTGAAGGCTAATGAATATGTTTACAATGGAGAAGGAGTCGAACAACCAAATATCATTCCTGGATGTTTTAGTCAGTAGGACAAACGGTGAAAAACTGGAAACCCAAGTTTACAGGAAGCCAACACACACTGATCAAATCCTCAACTACAGCAGCAACAACCCAACAAAGCACAAAATTAGTTGCGTACAAACTTTATTCAAAAAGTGAGAACACACTGCAGTACAACAACTTCACGGAGAAACGAAGAAAATTACTTGATGTCTATCCTAAAGAAGAACGGCTACCCGCAAAACTTTATCAGAAGATGCCTATCCTGTACATCATCAACTAGTAAGTCATCGACAGAAATCAATAAACGCATCATCCTACCCTACATAGAGAGTATATCAGAAGTCACGACAAGGTTGCTGAGACCACTTGGAATTGATGTGGTTTATAAACCAACAAATTACCTCCAAACACTATTATGCCAACTAAAGAACGCAAAAACCAAAGAAGACAAACTGAATATCATTTACAAAACCAACTGCAATAACCGTAGTCAATACTACATTGGACAAAGTAGTCGCCCTTTTCGTCTTGGTTTACATGAACACCAATTGGCTATTAAATGTCACATATGACACTTCATCACTCATTTTAATGCATGTGGATAATTATGGACATGAATTAAATTTTGACAATGCAGAAATCTTGGACGGAGCAAACATGAAGAATATCAGAGAACTCCCAAGAGCTTGATATTCAGGTCAGTCAGCAATCAACAGATGTATAGACATAGACCCAATCTATTAGCCAACAAGAAAAATGATAAACAACAGAAAGGTCAGAGGTCAAGGAGAGGGACAGCCAACAAAAAAATCTATACAGCCAATGACGCAACAATCAAGGGAAACAAATAATCACAGACCACTTCGTCAGGGCAAGCTACTAAATCACTCACGAAGAGATATTGACAGCTCACTTCATACTGAAGTTAGTGCTGCGGATGATATCGTCTAAAAAGACAGCGAAAGCTCCACGATTAAACAAACCAGCTCGGAGAACACAATACAGCCGTTTAGAGCAGATAGTGTCTGCAGACACAGCAGTGGAGCAAGAAGTTGGTGTAATATAAGTATGGGAAAAAAATAGTCAGATTTGTTTATAAATGAAATATAGTGAACTGAAGAGGATGATATTATCTTTCCTTTCTGAAATTCTATGGTTCTTAAAAATAAATTAAAAAGGTTATGCTATTGAAATGCTCATGATACTGTAGGGAACAACAAGATGAAAACAAAGAAATCTTTAACCATTGACGGTAATTCCCTATGATTTTTGCCGCCATCTCAACATATACTACTTATATCCATTCTAATCAGCAGAACTCATTACAATACGAATGAAAGTAATTTAAGATGTTACAAATTGTCTCAATGATCAGGTGTATATACTTGTGTGTGTGTGTGTGTGTGTGTGTGTGTGTGTGTGTGTGTGACTGGTATATTGTTCATCTTAAGTGAATCCTAAAGGTATACACAAATACTTTATCAAAACTGAAACTAAATTACCTGTAAGTGATTCTTGTTCATAGTTGTGAGGTAACTGAAATGTAACAGCTCTAGATTTTGATGGTTTGAGAAGTTCATTAGAATAAGCAACTGAATTTTCTTTTGTACAATTCTGTTTATGTATATTATCATCTACAGATAATTCATAACTGTTTGGATTATAATTAAGCCTTCTTCTTTGATGATATATACGACTATCTTCTTCATCACTATCAAGTTTAGAACCAAGAAGATATGATTGTTTTTTTTGAATTGTATTAATTCCAATTGTTTCATGAATAGGATCAGATAAACCTGGATGTGAAAGTGATCGAGTCAATTCAGAATCACAAACAATCATCTTTTCTCCAGCTGAACAAACAGCTATAGATTGTATTGATCTAGGTGAACTAGATTCAGATAAACTAGGTGAAGCTGCTGAAGAAGATGTCATTGGTGAAAAAACTGTTTTTAAACCTTCTTCTTCTTGACTTTCATCATCATCAATTCCATCCAGAGATTTACGTGGTGCACATATGAGTCCCAAAGCGAAGATAAGTATCAAAGGAATTATTCCCAGTGCTAGTGAGAAAAGAATTACTTATATTAAGCAAAGATTAAAATTTTATACTATAGTAGTCTATTAGAATAATATAATTAAGTAAACGTTTCAAATAAAACAGTTCAAGCCTATCTACAAAAACAATTTACTTGCATGGAAACGTGCTTCTAACTTCTAGTCATGATAACCCATGTCATAGTGATATGAACACGCTATGTTTATGGTGTAGGGACAATATATATTAAAGCTAAATAGGGTGGTGGTGGTGGTGGTGGTAATGGGGGGAGACAATCAGATCAGCATCACAATCGACAGAAATGGTTGCTATAAGTTGATAAAACAAGACGGTTGCAAATTTCTTATTATCATTAACTTCAAAGTACTCATGGAATTCGATTTAATAGTCAAACGCGGCCAAGGCTAGAGTTAGAAAAAAAAATTTTATTGTTTAATAACTTCATGAATGTTTATCATCACATAGATCTGAAGCATCTTTATCTGAACCTTGAATATCTTGGAATCTTATGTCTCTTTGTCCACTATTAACTCAGTATGCCTTTTTCTAACTAATATAAGAGTAAAACTTCGGCACCTTGGTCAATTGCGATTCCATTTTAGTTTGTTTATTAGAAATATCACACAGTGAAACAGTAGCATTTACTAGATAATGTTTTGGACACAACTTACTGTCCATATTCAATATCAGGTAACTTCACAAATCTGAGACAGAGTTTATATATTCCTAATTCTCTCCTTCTCTGTGATGACAAGGGTAGTAGAATTCTCTATATATCTGGGACAGGAGCAGAATCATTTCGATTGCATGTGTTTGGTGTTGATTTGATAAACGAAGATTCGGTTATCAATTTCTCCCTCAACCCAACTAAGTTAGTTTTCACTACTGTCACCCTATCCCACCCTACTGTGTGATTGTGTGTAATCTCGTGCAGAGCTATAGCCGAGTTTTTCTCTAGATTTCTTATCTTATTAGGATCTACTAATCTTGATTTTGTGTTCTGTTATTCTAATCGACCCTGGTCGACTGCTTTAACCTACGTACTTGACCTCGCAGTCATTGTAAGGGATTTGGTAAACCAGATTATTTTGCTTAATTGCATTGATAGGATCTTTCGATCTACAAAGCTTGTTTCTAAGTGAGTTTGTTGGTTTGAATGTCACTTTAATCCCAGCCAGCCTTATTAAGAATTCTTCGTAATCCTTCAGAGGTGCCTTCCTTGTATGGTAACACAGCAGATGCTTTGAATTCTCTCTTAACCCTATCGCCATTATTACCATCAGTAGTAGGATTATTATTAATAACATCTGTATTACTACTACTATTATTATTTATTATTATTCCCTTGGGTTCCTAGTGGAACATAGGGCTTCAGTAGCACGCCTCCAGTGACCTCTGTTCTCTGAGATCTTTTGAACCTGGTCCCACGACAGCCCACAAGCTCTCATTTCCTGCTCGCACGACCTCCTCCATGTCACCCTTGGACGTCCAACTCGTCGCTTCCCATGGGGATTCCACTCGAGGGCCTGACGCGTGATGTCCTCCGTCGGCCTTCTCAGTGCATGGCCAATCCATCTCCACTTCTTCCTGCATATTTGTTGCGTGATAGGTTCTTGGTTGGTTCGTTCCCAGAGTTCCTTGTTGCTTATTTTTTCTGGCCATCTGATCTTCAGCAGCGAGCGTAAGCAGTTGTTGATGAATGTCTGTAGTTTATTGGAAATACCTTTCGTGACGCGCCAAGTCTCTGAGCCATACAAGAGCACTGACTTGACGTTGGTGTTGAAAATCCGTATCTTGTTCCGCATGCTGAGTGCAGAAGATCTCCACACTGGTTTCAGGCTAATGAATGCCTGTCTTGCTTTTCCGATTCTGACTTTGACGTCCTCGTCCGTCCCGCCTGTAGTTGAAACAGTGCTTCCTAGATAAGTGAAGGAGGTTACTTCCTTTAAGTTTCTCCCGTTGACAGTGATTGGAGTTTGTTGTTGTTGTTGTTGATGGTGGTGGTGCGGTATCTTCATCACTTCTGTCTTCTCTATATTCACCTGAAGTCCCGTCTTCGCTGCCTCTTCTATCAACTTGTTAGTTTTTGCCTGCAGATCTTCAAGTTTATGTGACATTAGGCATAAGTCATCGGCGAAATCCAAGTCTTCTAGGTTCTTTTCCGTCGTCCAGTGTATCCCCCTCTTCTCGCTGCCTACTGTTTGCTGCATGATCCAGTCCACCACAATCAAGAATATCATGGGGGATAGTAGGCAACCTTGTTTCACTCCTGTCTTCACTTCAAAGGCATCACTGAGCTTCCCATTGTGGATTACTTGGCATGTAGCATCTTCATATAGTTGTTGAATGAGGCGGATAAAGGTTTGCGGTACTCCGTAGTATTGAAGCAGTTTCCAAATTACTTCTCGGTCGACGCTGTCAAAGGCCTTCTCAAAGTCGATGAAGTTGAGGTGGAGAGGTGATTGCCATTCTATGCTCTGTTCTATGATGATACGAAGCGTTGCAATTTGGTCTGCACATGATTTGTACTTCCTGAAGCCTGCCTGTTCCGGTCGTAGTTTTGAATCCAGTGCATCCCTTAGCCTCTCCAGGATGATGCGGCTTAATATTTTACTTGGGGTGGACAGGAGAGTGATTCCGCGCCAGTTCTTGCAAGCACTGAGGTCTCCCTTCTTCGGCAGTTTGACAAGGTAACCCTTCTTCCAATCGTCAGGTACCTTCTCTTCCTTCCACACCTTCTGCAATAGTGGTGTGAGCATGTCCGCTGTTGTCTCTGCATCTGTTCTCAGTGCTTCTGGCGGTATTCCATCTGGTCCTGCTGCTTTCCCGCATTTCAGTAGCTTTATGGCGTTCAGGACTTCCATTTTCGTTGGGGGATTAATGTTCACTTGTAGTTCAGCGGCTGCAGGTGGTATTTCTGGACGAAGTGCAGGTGGTGGTCGATTCAAGAGCTTCTTGAAGTGGTCGGCCCATCGTTTCCTCTGTTTCTCTTCTTTTGTAATTAAATTTCCTTCTTCATCTTTTATTGGTTTCATCTGTGTTGGTCTCTTCCCTGATAGCAACCTGGTTATTTGATACAATGTCGTCAGGTCTCTCTTACCTGCAGCCTGTTCTGCTTCACTTGCCAGTGTTTCGTAGAAGTGTCTTTTGTCTTTGCGTGCACTCTTCTTCACTTCTTTGTCCAGTGTTTTATACATTGTGCTCAGTTCCTCTTGTCGTTGAGCATCCTTGCACTGGTTTATCTTCTGCTTCACCATCCTCCTCTCCTCTATCAGCTTCCAGGTATCCGTCGAGATCCATTCCTTGTCTTCTTTCTTCTTCCTTCCTAATACTGTTGTGCAGGTTTCTTTCCACATAGCTTTCAAAGACTTCCAGTGTTCTTCCACACAGGTTTCTTCAGGGATGTTGCTCGATGGTCTCCCATTTTGTCTTGATGGCTGCCTTGAAGATCTCCTTTGTAGTTTCATCCTTCAGTTTCCGAGTGTTGTACTTGGGTTGAGGTCTATCACCAGCTTCCTTGAAGGCTTTTAACTTGATTTGGAAGGTTCCTTGCACTAGGTAGTGGTCTGAACCTACATCTGCTCCTCTTCTTGACCTTGTGTTAAGTAGACTGCGTCTCCATTTTCTTGAGATTGAGATAAAGTCGATTTGATTTTTAGTGTGTCCATCTGGTGAAATCCATGTCGCTTTGTGGATATCTTTGTGCCTGAACACACTGCCTCCAATCACCAAATCGTTGAATGCGCAGAATTCTGCAAACAATTCTCCATTCTCATTCATTTCACCTAGTGCCTCTCGACCCATGGTTAGTTCTCTTCCCGTGTTGTCCCCTCCCAGTTTGGCATTCATGTCGCCCATCAGAATTTTGATATCGCCAACTGACGTCTTGTCCAGTGTTGATTGAAGTTGTCTGTAGAAATCCTCCTTTTTCTCTTGCTCTGCATTATTTGTAGGTGCATAACATTGTATGATTGTGACCTTTCTTCCTTTTGAGTTGAATCTTGCTGTCATGATCCTGGAGGAGATTGGTTCCCACTGCATGAGAGCCTTCGATGCTCTTGAGGACATCATGATAGCCACTCCCTCAGTGTGCTCGTGGTTGGCGTCTGGGTGACCGGAGTAGATTATTGATTCTCCAGTTGACAGTTTGGAGAGTCCACTCCCATTCCATCTGCTTTCGCAAATCCCAAGCACTTCGATGTTATACCTTCTCATCTCCCTTGCAATCTGGGCTGCCTTACTGGGTTCAAACATCGTGCGGACATTCCATGTCCCCACGTTTACTTTCGCTTTCATCGAGAGAAGACACATCGGCCAATTGGCTTCCCGAAGGCTTTCACCAACTGGCGTCATTTCGCCTCTCCGATTCCAGCGGGGAATAAGTTTGTTTTCATTTTTTATATTTTGTTTGTGCTTTGAAGTTTCTTTAGCGGTTAGATTTGTTTTACGGGGTAGGGTTGCTAGCCCTATGCCCAACCTTCCCTCTTTACCCGGGCTTAGGACCGGCTAGTAACTAGTAAACTAGTTAACCAGGCGAGGTTGTATTACTACTACTACCACTGCTAATATTTTTCTTATGAATTTATTTATAGACTTTGGTGGTTAATTATTGAGACGTAGGGTATTCTTGATGTGTCCAATTTTTTGTCGTAGATTTTCCGATCTACTAGTAAGCTTTTTCGCTCTATCGCTTAAGGATTTAACTAGGCCTACTTTAACTGAAATGGGGTAGGAGGATTCGAAGTCTTAGTAGCGATTCGAATGGGTAGGTTTCCTATCGACACTAGTCTCTAGATTTCCTTCTTGTGTTCGTTTAATCTTGCAATCTATTATTGCTAGCTCACCTTCTTCACTTTCTAAGTCACAGGTGAATTGCTACTGTTTCAGTGTGTGATATTTCTAATAAACAAAGTAAAATGGAACTTTTTCTAACTAATTTAACAATTCTGTTCTTCTCATAGGTATTGTTTCATTTTTGAATCAGTGATGCATAACTGTTTCGTC